ATAAAACTACTACTTCTAAATGCCAACAAGAAAATACTCACCTTTCGAAGTACCTAGTAGAATCCGGATTCTTGGAAGTCCGAAGTTTCGTTCAGTTTCTGCAACTTCTCTAAATACACAAAGTTTGAGAATAGCATCCTGGAGGTGAGAAAAAGGAAATGCGCAAAGAGCAACTGAGTCACCCACTTTGGATCTCCCGATTCTTGTCTACCCTGCGCCTCAGGGAATATACCTCCTCCTTCAGGCGTTCGTTTTCCCGAAGCACACTCTAAGGAAACAGAACGGCGACAAGCATTTGAATTTAAACATTGGTTTTCTGTCCACTAACTTCTGAGTAACTTATAGTACTCACAATGAAAAATGAGCAAGATCAATTCTAATAAGGGCAAACTAAAGCCTGATGGAGCACTAAAGAGATTGCAGGGAACAAGTTGCATACCAAACACAACAAGTACACCGATTAAATTATCAAAACGCACACATGTAAGTCACTTTGCCTACCGCCTGTTGATCATGATAGAAGACGAGTTGTGTGGCGATGTAATTTAAGTGGCGCGTCAGATCCTTCTCGGAGTAGACAGCTGCGCCGGGAGACACGCAACTCAACTGCCGCAATGCCTCCTCCCCGCCCAGACCGTTTTCCACGAGCAGCTTAATGTGAGCTGCCAGCGTCGACTAAAGTCGTTCCGGCTCCGCGTAAAACCACGGGCCTCCACTTGACTCAGTTCCAAGAAATGATGAGCTCGCGTCAAAAGGGCGCGTTCCAGTGTGTACTTCGACGCAACCTCGCGGAGATGCTCCAGCTAGTGAATTGAGCGTAAAGACCAAGAGAGATTAGCACCAAAACATGCACGAAAGGTCAACTTATTTGATTGATTACTTCAATCCAGTGCAACCACTACTTATCAAAACACAAATTAGATTGAATAACAGGAGGAAAAGCTCGACTATCAAGCAAGCATATTGAAGATTCATTTTTCGAGGCAAATCTTAATAGCAATGTGAAAATGCCACAAACTCTAACTCGAATGGAATTGACTGCTACACAGATTTAGCGAATTCGTGAGTTCTTTGACAAGTGAAGCTTTCAGGAGTAAATATCGCCACAATTACCAAGCTCGGAGGCCATGCGTTCAATGTTCCGTTGAATTATCACAGAAGAGAGGTTTGTTTGCTCCTCGCATTGTTCCTGGAAGGCTGGGTCGGTTTGAACTGGGACTAAAGGACAGGTCTAGGAGACAGCAGACGTCGTAATATGAAACAGTCAGGGAAATTAGTGCGCCAGCAACCACGCTGACAGGGGAAGGCAATTTAATGTGATTGGAATCTGAATTTCTGTCAGTATGACAGCAGCCATCAGCCAATCTAAGTACCCAGCACAACTTACAGATACAACACAGAAAGGACCTTTGAAGAACGGTTTCAAGCTAGAATGGCGAGATAAAATCACGATGCTCAACTAGCTGATTATCTGTGTATCTATCCCATTTCTCATTAACCGAATTTATCTACTTTAAAATAACACACACATCATATAAACATCACAAGTTAAAGAGTTGTCTGCATAGCTACTCGACACAACTACCCAATAGTGACAAAAGCTGAGGGATAACAGAGGTTTACAAATGTGTCGAGTGCTTACCTCACACGAAGCCTTGGTGTCTGCACCTCCTTCTCAAGTCGCTCAATGTCATTCATGCCTGCCATTTCAGCAGACATCTTGCTCATGCGATCCCATGCCGATTGGACTTTCTCTTCCCTCTCCTTGAGGATGCTTGCGACACTCTCAGCAAGGCTGGTGGCTTCGGGTGTGAGAAGGCAAGCTCTGGAGACGTCGAATTGAAGACGAGCCCCGAGAATTGTCAGATCGTCAGTGAGTTGCTGCAGAGCAATTTCTGCAGCTACCTTGGCTTCGTGAGCAATGACAACCGGGGTATCTCTGTTGTCTAGGTCAATATTGAGTCCCGATATGACCTCCCTCAGATGGCAAACTTCTGCTCCTTCCAGCTCAAGACGCATGATGGCATCGTTGAGCTTGGTCTAAACGTCAAGGGCAAGATTTAAGACAAGACAGTACGATTCTAAAAGCCCTCTTTAGTCCAATTTGTTGCTGTTTTACAAAGACACATGCGACGTGTTCATGTACACTTATCCTGGTCAGAATATTGAGCGCCCCTTTTCAGCAAGCACGAAGTAAACCATAGTTAACTGGTTAACATCATGCTACAGAACTGTCAAGAAACACCCGTCCATTTCGGCATATTACATTAGGCCTTAAGATGAACGTAGCTTAAGCCGTTCACGAAGTCACTTAGCTTTGGTTTCTTTTCAACCCAGTAAAATCCCATTGGCTAAAAGCCGCTAAAGCAGCAGAAGCCCTTTTCAACGTAGACAAGTGGAGCCTCAAGATGAGTTTGAAAAGTACGAGGTAGACGTTTCAACCCCGAAAATCCTGTGCAACCAGACCATGGGCCAGAAAATGAGGTTCATGCGCAAATACATCAATCCTCGCTGCATACTCTTGTGTCCAAATCAATGTAGAAGAAATGCCATGGTGTATTCACAATTTGTTCATCATATTCACGACACAAGTAAACAGTGACGACAGCTTCAATTCGGGTTACCATATACAGTTATGCGCATGCCCACCGATCAAACGGAACGCTGCATGAAGACAGTGGTGTCATTTTTTGGAAATCGAGTAAAAGCTTCAGCTCGTGGAAGACGTGACGGAAGTAGGATAGGCATCTGCGAAAACGTTTGAATACAATAGACAACATACATAGACTGAGGCATCTAGTTGTAGAGCCATGTGGCGCAGGCGCAATAGGCAAGGTCAAATAATGTGTTTCGGGTTTGTAAAGACAGCAAAATTGACCAAACCACATTCAAGGAGAGTTTGAGATCTCCAAAGCCATGAATCAATCAGTGCGACAACACATTATTGGCGAAGGCAAGGCTCTAAACGCAATTTGTCGTACAACCGACCATTCAAGAATAAAGTGTGAATAAAAGTCAATTCAAGAATGATTTTTTTTATGAAGGGTCCTTGTGCCAAGGCGGGCCCGAGAGAGTGGATTTTTGCATATAAAGACGGAAGCCTGGAATGGGCTTACCAAGGGCATATCGATTATAAAGGTTTAATGGAGGATGATTGTCATCTGTAACTCCCTTTACCTTTCACACACACACACATACATGGCTAGTGGGTTAATGAAAAAGTCCGCATCATGTGTACATCAAGTTCTTCGTTCTTGGAATTCTGGAGCTGCCAAATAAGGAATAGGGTTCGAAGATATTTTGGAAGCAACAGAAACCAGTCGACTTTAGTGATTATGTCCCAGACACATGAAAACAGCAACACTAACGCGAGCACCAACCCACGAGTGGGTCCAAGACGTGCGCGCCGATGGAAGGAAAAACACGAGAGCAACTGACCTGGAGGTACGGGATCTCAGTTTGAGCGGCCTCGAGTTCCTGTTGGAAGGTGGCACCAAGGTTCTCGCCATCTAGGGACGGTGGTGGTATGTTGCCTGTGATAGCCGACGCCTCGGCATGCTCAAGACGTAAACAAAACTTTTCGAATTCAACATTGCTCATTTGACGGCTTTTTGTCTGGCTAATTTTTTCAAGAAGCGACATTATCTACATTTATCAAGAAATGAGAGATATAATCGGAATGCACTTTTTTATCGCGATCATTTAGTTGCTGTTGTTGCAGATCTTCATTGGCTGTTTCCAGCTTCCGACAGCGTGCAGACAAAGTCTGCGTCACCGTCAAACGCCGTTTAAGACTAGGAGGAAATAAGATAACTGTTAGAAAGAACAATAGGACTGTTTGCTAGAGGAAAGGTTGTGCTCTAATAAATTATCTTTAACGAAGAGAAACAGCCAATGGGGCAGTTTACTTAACACAATGGAAAAAGGTGTAAAACCTGATGCACATACTTGAAGTAGGAGCTACAAGAGTTGGTGGAAATTGAATTTTTTTGCAAATTATACTCTAATTTAAATTAAAAATAACCTAATGCCACGGAAAACGGCAGCCTGGACAACACCCAATTTGTCACCAGATTAGGAGACATTAAACCAACGAAGCATTGACATGGGCGCTTCAATTAAGTGTCCACTCACACACCGGATGCTACGTAAGAACTATTTTAGCCTTACATTTCAATTCTTTCAGATTGTGCGGCCAAATCGGCCTTGGCCTCAACCAACTCATCTAGTTGGTCTCTTGAGTCTGCTGCTGCACGACGAAGACGAGTTACGTCGGCTTCAGCTTTTCGGGCCCTTCCAAAACAACCTGATAGCTAGAGACGCAGCTCTTTCACCACAGCCTCTGCGTCCTCGCGATCAGGCACAGCTCGCGCGAGGGCCAATTCAGCGGCTCTGATCCGTCGCCTTGGCTCATTAAATCGATGCTAGAGAGAGCGATATGCGTAAAGTAGCTTAACTCCTGATTGAAATTGACTAAGCACCGACAAAAAGTAAAATAATGTTGCTTGTATTAAGTCAAACGATCAGCGCATATGATTACATTAGCAGCAAAATCGACGGCGAAATTCTCCCGCCTTATAAAACATGGTGTTATAAAAACCATAAAGACCGAATGCACACATATACTCTCTATTGCAATTTTGATGGTGAAACCTTTCAGCTAGAGACAATTTTGGTAGAGACGTCGTAGCTACCAAGCAAATAATCAAGACACCTATTGAGAACAAGTAAATTAAGGCATGATCATAGGCACCTTAAAGATCCCAGAGTACATTGTTTGTTAAATCAAATACAAGGTATGTAATGCCCGTATCGTAAAGTGTCGAATAATACTTTTTTTCAAGAGAGTTGGTAGTTTTTGTGCCCTAGGCAGACTGACTACTAGCAAAAGTAGTTAAAGTACCAAAGACGTGTTGTCAGGTAGTTCCTAAAGGAAAACGTAAATCTAAATAAGCGAGTAAACACAAGCAGCATTAAAAATGCAGTTTTTAGTTCAGTTACAGGATCAATGCGATGTTATTTTTGATGCTTTTTAATTAATAAATCAGTGAATCACGAAAGATTAATAGGTCCAAAAAGCATATCATGCTCATCAAAAGGTCAAGATTTAAATTAACTATTTTCAAGTTAAAGTAAGAAATGCCGATCAATTAAAAATTCACAATGAGGGGTGTGAAAGAACAGTCAAGCATGAAGTAACCAAAAGAAAATATTGACTGAGAAAGGACCATGCGGGTTCACATCACATCATGGCCAAGCAGACATGATACATTGCTATAACTATGTTAGAATGTCAGAACAATTTGTTCCGTTAATGGGTATGAAAATGTGAGAAAGAAACAGATGAAACACTTATGGGCAAATAAAACGACATAAAAAGAATAAACTTAATTGCAAAACACTTGCACTATTAAATGCTCAACTAAATCAAAAACACTTAGTCAGAAATTCTGATATCTAACCACCTGTATACAAGGCACAAAATGATCAAATCCAAATTAACTTCCTTGAAATGTGCGCCTTAAAGTGTATTTAACGGGTTTGTGGTTCAGTTAAAGCCGCGAATTTCTTTCCTGGGTAATTTTAAACAGATTTACAACATTTTGATTTATTCAAAAACAAACATTATTTAATTAATTCCTTTTTTTGCTGTTACAGGTGGGCAGCTTTTTTTTTTGAATTTTTTTAAGACAAGAGTTCATTTAAGTACTTAAAAGCTGTCCCATTTTTGAAAATGTTATCGCATTTAGCCTCTCATGCTTTTCCCGCATTAATATTTTCGACATATTTTAACTTCGGTTCGGAAATACTTACTGTACATTCAAACTTCGAGTTAAAACCCTGAAAGAATTTTTTTCTGAAGTGTGACTTTTTTTTCAAAGGCCCTTTATTTAAAAAAGGCTGCGAATGTTTACTTATCCTATGTTAAAAAATGCATTAAGCTTACAATTACAGAACTACACGATATTACACAAAATCATATGGATAAAGAAACATTGCCTTGTCAGTGTGTACGTTATTGTTTCCAATATGAGGTGATTCTGGCCATAAACAGAAAAGAACCCATTTAAATGCTTAAAGTTGATGTAGAATGCCTACGTATATTATGTTTTCAGATGATTCTAAGCCTCTACTGTGAAAGTTCTCTTAATAAACGAATCGAAAAAGGCAAAAGATTTTTTCTGAGGATGATCATCACATGGTCGTGATGTATTTTGCAACGTTAAACCCAGTTTTATCACTTTCTGTTCAAAAATTTGCCTGTGCGATGTCTGCTTATGATTTTTAATCGCCTTTTTAGAGGAATACCGTTTTAAAATTATAAAATCAGAAAATTTACTTTTGGAGGGTTTGTAGATATTTGATGTCATAATAAAATTATAACAACGCCTGCAATAAATTCGCATTCTGGTCAGAATTTTTTTAAATTTTATGCTTAATTTGTCTAAAGACGCAAGTACCAATCGAAAACCACGAATTCCTAAACAGTTTGAAATAATGTTAAAATGCACAACTAATGCCAAAAATGGATAATGGAAATCGCACATATCTGTGTGTTCTTGACATTAGGCACTGTATTCCATATTACTTATTCCCAGTGCTAAGCCGAGAAAATTCTAACTCACCACTGGTATCTTACTATCTGCCCAAATTCTCATTAAAAACTTTGGTTAGGCTACTTTCCGCCACTGTATATACATTTAATTTGTGCTGTTATAATTCTGTTCATTATTATACTAGGGCAAAATTTACACATTTTTATAACTGTGTTTAATAGTACACCTGATTATACCGGCGTGTATGAATATTCTGATTCTGCGGGTATTCTCAAGGTAGTGTGTGTAATTGGAATTGCTTTCAAAGACTTTGTACTTTTTGCTGCAGATTCCAGAATTAACATTTCTATCATAATAGCAAAAGGCAATGCTGACAAAATGTTCAAGTCAAGTTATCATAGTGCTATGTCCGTCTGTGGTGAGGCTCGGGATGCTGTTCAATTTGCTGAATTTATTCAACAAAACATGCAACTGCACGAGATTAGAAGTGATTACGAGTTGACACCTTATGCAGCTGCAAACTTTACCAGGAAAAAGTTGGCTGAAGCTCTTCTTTGCTACTCGCTGGTTACAACCCGAAGGACGGACCTTAGTTGTACTATATGGATTATCTGGCTTCCATGAATAATGTGCCGTATGCTGTACATGGTCATGGGCTTTTCGTTACTCCTGGAATTTTGGATAGATAGTACGATCCTTCAATGAGCATCTGCAGTGTCTTTAAACTTCAGGATAATTTCGTCCGTGAGCTGAAAAAATGATTTGTTGTTAACAGCGATCGGTTCTCTGCTCGCGTCGTGAATAAGAAAGGAATCCAACACCTGTCTGACCTGGTTTAATTTGTTAGTTTCCCTATAATAAAGTTTTTTTTCAGTGTGAAGTGCCTTGGAAGTATAGTGGTACTTTGATATTTGCAAAGGGTGGCCTTATGCGGTCGTATATGGATCGTTGTCGGGGTAAAATCTCCTAGTCACGTATGTCGCTTTATTTGCGAAAATGGTCTCGTTACATAGTTTGGAATGAGAAATTGTTTTAGTCTTGTGTTTATATGTATCGTTGCCTTAATTTCTTATACGATTATTTTTTGGTCTAATGTTTCCCCACATTCATTAAGTTTTACCAATATTTCACAAATCTGATCTAGTGTGGTTCAACTGGCAAGGCCTCAGTATGCTTTAGCTCGTGTTTCTTTACTGCTCCGAAAATGTACCTCTCATTGGTGATGCTACCTTGCATCGCTCTAATCTTATTGACAATTACTGCTTACTTTACTGCTGTTTAGCGAGGCATGTGTTTAGCTTTGTTAGTTTGTCATTGTGGAGGCTGGATCGGTGTCCATACACGTCAATTTTGCGCCATTTTAGACTTCCAATGCTCCAAGTTCGTGTTAAAAATATTATTGAACTCAAACGATTAGTACTTTGGCCGCTCCTTCTATGAACCCTATTGGGGTTACGCATGTACGGGTGTCCTGCTGCGCTAGTTTATGTCCTTGTATGTCTATACCTCGGTTTACTTGCTGTTTTAATGCCGATGGAAGTGCTCATGCTGCGATACTCATACTTTTGGACTTCTGGATATAACGAATACCTAAATACGGACAAATTTGCGAGTAAGTTACTTGATCACCAATATTTGGCAGCGTATAGTTGTCAATTGTTAATTTGCTCAACTAAAATGTCTCAACTTTGTGGAGATTTGGCTCCTAGGCTAATTTTCGATTTGGACCACACAGAAACGGAGAGGCTTCCGATCGTTAGTAAATTAGCATTCATTCTTTACGTGACTCGACTGGTGACAAATGTTTTAGTCCTATAATTGCTTCTGTGCTTCGATTTTGGGATGAAATGTCAAGAAACCGATAAAACACTCCCTTTTGTCGCTCTTAGTCTTCTAAAACCCATTTGTCAAATCACCCCGTTGTTCAACCTTCGTGTTAAATTTGGAGAGAGCTATCGCTACTACCTATGAAATAAGTAGCAGGGATTTCGTCATTTCTGTGGTCAATGTCCGAAAGTCGCCTCTAATAATACTTTACTGCACTGTTTAAATTGGACCTGGTGTAGTGGAGAGGTTTAGCTGTTAAAAGGCATTGGAATTTGATCTTGATAGGCTGGTATATCTCATAATCGAGTAAATAGTGCGCACAGCGTTGATTCTATCACGTCACCATGCCGTAGATGCTTTTTTCTGAGCAGAAACCGTCTCCGAAGTTAATTCTAACAGCGCATAAACAGCATAAGGTGAATGAGATGGTGTGAAAAGGTGAAATAGTCGTTGTCGAAGAAGTCAGTAATGTATGTACAACGTGGTGCATTTAAAACCTACTCATCTTTCTTTACTGTCCACTCCGACATCGGTTAGAAGAATCGAGTAATTGACTGTCATTTACAGAAACACTAAGTTAGGGGAGCATGAGTAGTGGTAGCGGTTGGGGTTGACACAGAGCAAGGGGTGTTCATTTTTACACGGCAGTTAAGTGCCAGATTTTTGATTGGTAGGAAGATAAGGGAGTGCCGAGCGAACAGGAAATTAGATGGAACCAAAATTCACTCGTCGTGGGTTGAGCAAACGGACGTACTGCTTGCATTCTCGAGCGTCATTCACGGTTTCAAAAAAGAATGAAAGCCTATTGGACATGCCAAGTTCATTGTGATGGTTTAGCGTGTGTGGGTGGGAGTTTGGCGCGAAAAGGGGGTTTTGTTGTTTGCGGTTACACTAGCTGCCAGCATCCGTGTACTCGTGGCTGTGTGCTGTCGATAGAAGCCTTCGGGAGGACGACAGAAAGCCCAACATGGAAGCTGGAGTTGGTGGTGGTGACGGTGGGTCAAAAATGCGTGCTAGCTCTTCGACCTTGAGCAAACGGAGGCAGTGCGCGAGGCCGCATTCGCAGCTCGGAAGTCCTTTTGAACTGCTTCGGCTGCGCCGCTCGCGGCTGCTCGCTTCTCCTCCGGCGAGAGCTCGTACACCTGGCTTGTCGATGGACCGACTTTCCCGCGTTGGTCACCAAATTTATAAACAGGAAGGCCAAGCAAGCGTTCGAACGCAGCACCATCACTACAACAATGTTCGCACACAGCCAATCCTGCAAAAAAATCGACAGTCAATAAATTCGTTTCTACACATTAAACAATAGTGTTACCAATTTTGCTAAGCAATGAGGTATTTAGAGAGAATAAAAGTGAATCGTGTTGATTCACGTCCACCTTTTCACTGCGTGCCCGTCAGTCGGGAGGGACAGTTTACTTATGCCCTAAAATCCGTTTTGCTCATCTCACCATTCACATTGTCTTTCTGATCTGTTAGACGGTTATGTCTGCTCTCTCTGGTGTCGTTCTTGGCGTCTCGGGTCCCTGTGGGGCGTAAACGAGTCAATTTTCATCGTTTGAGCCCCATAACGTCGGTCAGTGTGCGACTCCTAAATAACAGTGCCGGATTTCTCGTTTCTGATTTGGACCAACTGTCCCCAGCACAATTAAAAAACGACAAAATTTCCTACTTTTCATTGTCATGTTTGCTGGTTTCAGAGACATGAAGCTCCCGTTTGTCAGTCAACTCAAATCTAACTGTCTAAAGCCAGTAAAATTTCCGACAAAATGCCTGGATATCCTTTGGCAACTGTGGGTTACTATGGGATACACTTTAACTTCCAGCGTGCTGGAAAAATCCTCTTTTTAGAATTGACCGAATGTTGATCTTATCCAATATTTCGGAAGCCAGAAAGGTCTCTGATGCAGTAGAAACACGACTTGGTATAAGTGGGCAAGCATTGAGGCTTAGCTGTTAAAGCGCCAAAAAAATGTCTTTTCCACGTCAGCACCAGGTGAATTCGCCTCAGAGAGCAAACCACCGACATCAGAGGCCCTCGCTGACTTTACCCAAATCTTCACCCCAAATTCAAAAATGTAGGTCTCGACAAGGATTTCCGAGCTAAGGTGAACATTGTCGAGATCTGACGAGAGTCCAGGCATACCAGCTACGAAGGGTGGTGCGGGTAGGATCAAGGGTAGGGTCCTGCGTTGAAACATCTTCCATTCCAACGCCACCCCCTGAGTATGAGAACATGCAATGACATCGAACGCGGAGAGAGGAGAGGGCCCGCGGAGCAAGATGTAGCTGCGCCTGTCATGGGTACAGCGTAAGCTATTCGCTAAGAAACTACTTCGAAACACCGAAGACTGCCACCATGAAAGAAAGACAACGCTAAAAAAGCCGCCGAAGACACCGCTGTTCACGAGTGTGAGTGTGAATCCGTGGTGAGCCGACTGCGCTAACCTTGGCTACTTGCTTCTGAAACAGCCAACTTTGATAGGTCAATGCTGGTGGCGACAAGAAGTTGCTTCGTAACACTGACGACTGCCACCATGAAAGAAAGCCAACGCTCAAAGCCGCCGAAGTGACCGCTGTTCACGTGTGTGAGTGTGATTCCGTGGTGAGGCGACTGCACTCAGTTTGGCTAATTACTACTGAAACAGCCAAATTTGATTGGTCAATGGTGGTGGCGACAAGAAGTTGCTTCGTAACACTGACGACTGCTACCATGAAAAATACCAACGCTCAAAGCCGCCGAAGTGACCGCTGTTCACGTGTGTGAGTGATTCCGTGCTGAGTCGACTGCGCTCGTTTTGGCTACTTGCTTCTGTAGCAACCAAATTTGATTGGTCAATGGTGGTGGCGACAAGAAGTTGCTTCGTAACACTGACGACTGCCATCATGAAAACGGCCAACGCTCAAAGTCGCAAAAGTGACCGCTGTTCACGTGTGTGAATGTGATTCCCCTGTGAGGCGCCTGCGCTCACCTTGGCTACTTGCCTCTGTAACAGCCAACTTTGATTGGTCAATGGTGGTGGCGACAAGAAGTTGCTTCGTAACGCAGACGACTGCTAGGGTCGAATGGCCAACGCTTAAACCCGCTGAAATGACCACTGTTTAGTCTATCGACTTTTTTTGAGCAGATTGTTGCTTTTTTGTCCAGAATTATGTCCCAGATTCGGTAATGTGATCTTTTTGAAGTGCAATTACTTAAATGCACTGGCAGTTTCAACCTGGCTTCCACAACACTATTGTTGGGTTTCTTGATTTCGGGTTACTTTACTTTTTCTCTATTAAGGTCTGATTTTAAACCTGATTTCTCACTAAACTGACGTCTACGCGGAGTGAGACCAACTGATCCTACTTTCGAATATTTCCATTGACTTAAATCGGATTCAGTGAGTGTTCTGACAGGCCTGACACATGATTATGACTCGAAACCTCTCATTTACAAGACCTATCCTTTAGTTAGCGGACGTAAACGATAGCAGAACAATTGTAACTAGCAGCGTAAATGAGTAGTCATTGAGCCAAGTTCGTAATTCTATTTGGATTTCCATTTTGTTGTGGAAAGATCTGAAGTCGGCGTGCTAAGAACTTGTGTTTGACTGTTCTCGAAACCATCCTCAATGTGGTTAGTAGCGTTGTTCAGCCTCATCAAATGAAAAATTTCCTTTCTGTGGCCGCATGGGCAGACCACCAACAAACATCAAACTAGTGCAATTAATCCAATTTCACCGGTTTTCGCTATCGTCGTAAATCGTCCAAACGACGTCTGTTTACAGTTAAAAGACGTGTTGGCCTTGCTTGGCCGTTCCCACGATCCTTTTTATGGTCAAAACAGGTAAACACACCTTTGGGCAATTCTTAAGCGTACTTTTGCCAAATCAATGTTCTTATCATTCAAGACCACTCAGTTACAACTCCTATTTTTATGTTAGGGAACGAAAACGATAACAGGACAATTGTAACCATCATAGTGAGGGAGTAGTCAATGAAACAATTCCGTATTGCAAGTCAAAATACTTCCTTGTTTTGGAGAAACCCAAACTTGGCGTGCTAAGAACTTGTGTTTGCATAAACTTCCACTTAGGTGACTGTCTTCCGAACCAACCTGTCAGAAAACAACAATCAAATGTGGCGCAATAGACAAGAAGTAAATTGATTACCGCGATCAGATGTAATAGAAATGGGTGAAGCGTATGACAAAACACGCATGCAATGTTTTCGGTTAACATCGTCTATAATAAGAACAGCTATCGGCCAGCTAGAAAAACGGTCCATAGAAGTTAGGACATGGGTAAAGGACAAGACCGTGAAAAAGTTCCAATGAAATTGAATTGTACATGCGGGGAGATCGCGTCTAGGGTAGCAAAAATGCGCATGTTGCAGAGCAGTGTGTTCGTGAAATTTGCTAGGCCTTCATTGAATACAGAGTTAAGCCCTTAAACGAATATCCTTATTAACGCTATGCCAAACAAAACTCTCACTTATCAAGCGCACGTAGCGCAAACACCAGCATGTGAAAGTGAGTGAAGATGATTACACATCTGCCTTACAAATACGTGCCTTTCACCAAATGCAGTGGCTTGCATGACACCACCTTACACCCATCCACTTCATGGCCCTTACAACCCCGAAACTAGAAAGAAGAAAGGCGACAGCGGAAACAACTGCCTATTAGCATCGCGCGAGTCAATTATGGTTTTGTGTGTGGACGAGAGAGGTGATGCTGGAGGATTGGTAACAGTCACACATGGAAAATAGGGATGGGTCATTGACTCCGTCAGGTCAGTAGACAGATTCCATTTACACGTCTGTTTAACGACATTAGTCACCTTGGGCTTTCATTTGTCGGTGTGAACGTTCCATCATGCCATTTGATTGTGGTTGGTTGGGGTTGTTTGAATGTGGTTCGTTCCCAGGAGCCGTGTGGGATTATCCAACACATTTAATTCAACCTGCGTTCCCCTGTCTGTGCGAGTAGTTGAAAGCACTGCACTGAAAAAGCAACATGCCATCAGGTAAAGCGAATTGCGCCAGTTCACATGTAACGGAAACATGTCTAACAACTTTGACATGTGTGTGATTGAAACTTGCATCCGGTTCGCTGAATTGTACAAACAAGTGTCTTGCTATGCTGGTCAAGATAAAACATGACAAAACACACGCAACTATTTAAGAAAGGAATCCTTGTTGGTCGTTGATCAGGATGATCAAAATCACAACAGATTTAAAGCACTTGGCGGTGCATCGATTTCCATACGCAGCCATGATACGTCAAGGAGTGTATGGGGATGGACACAGATTTGGAACCGTGCTGGATAACAAGCAGTGTTTAGTGTAAAGCAAAGATAATCCGTGCTTATGCAGGAATTCAAGTGACAGTAGGGGACCCACAATGTTTACAACAGGTGTCTTCGGTGGAACGGCAGTTGTTAAATTAATTTACCGAGACAGCGATCTGTAGCATGCAACGAGCAGTACACGTGCATTAATTCAGAAATACTAAGATAAAATGAATGGGCCTTGATTAAAACGCGTTTTTGATAAACACAGGGCGCACGGAATGTAAAACTAATTTTATTCAACTGTTAAACAAACAAATTAATATAAGCAACTTCCAACAGCTTGAATGCAACATAATTGGGTTAAAGGACGTACTTACATATAACCAGTCCATTTCGGCGGATGTGGTATAGGAGATATTTGGCCTTTACCTGGCGGAAAGAAGACTCACCGACGCTGTTGGTCCCAGTAAGGTATTGTTTAAGCAGAAAAAGTTCCATTCCTAAACCGGGTTGTCAAATTCATGCCTTGATCGAGTTGGTCATTCGTGTGACGGCATCGTTTAGGACAAATCGATAACTTAGGTTGCATCGTTTTCAACAGCACACGATTATTTGGAGATTCGTTAAGCAACCTTAACATTTCATAAATGGATCGCAAGTTGCAAACACCAAGCACGGGCGTTGAAACTGAGTCGACTTGGGTTTACTTACGTGCTTTTTTTGAAAACAGGTACAATCATTGTAACCAGAAGAGAGGGTTGTAAAAAAAGATTTAGAAGAAGTCAACTACCCTGGCTTGGTCGCCTGCAGCAACAATCCGGGGACAGAGAAGAGAGACGCGACCGTGGTTACAACCGATTTTTAAAGGCGTCATGCCGGCCAAGTGTGCCATTGTGTGCGTGAGTGCGTTTGCGTGCGCCTGAGTGCGCGTGCATAACAGGCGACTGTCAACGCTGGCCAATGAGAAACAGCGATGAGACCGCCACCTGCCAGCCAGTCAGCCAATAAAATCGATAACGCCATAGGCGAGCCACCCCTCACTGTCCACTACCGTGATTCTGCACTCTGCATTAGTCGTACTCCGTCACTCCTACTAGTCTTTTTAAGCGAATGAAATTTTACATCGTCTAGTTGCGTGGTAACCACACTAGGAAATTCACCAAGTTGTATGTGAAGCTTGATAGAGAAACTAGAGCGTGTGGACGGGAATTAGCATCACACTAGCACTTTCTGTGACACTTTCGGCAGCACTTCTTCTTGCACTGGTGCCGGCATCGATCGATTTCCATGATGTCGTCATTTAATTCCCTTAGAGAACACGTCCTACCTTCATTTATTCGAGGTGTCATAGCTTTGAAACATAACTTGACTGACAGAGACACAATGACTTCCACGTGTGCGATGCCTGACACACCATCTACTCCAGGTTTCGGTCGATTATTTGATTATAACGCCGAGCATTTATTATGCCTTAGCCGTCGACACATTGGTGTGGTAGGTTCACATAAAATTGTCCATATGACAATTAGCTTTTACTCCTCACAAATCTAGCAAAATAAACAGCTATTTTGTCAGCAGCGCCCACACACATCACAATCTACAACACTCGAACCGACGATTGGCTTTTTCAAGACAATGCAGAATCAGCGTCTTTGTCGTAGAAACCACAACAACTAACCGCTATATAGTGGAAGTGAAACCAAATATTTCCCAGTGATATCGAATTTACGAAGGCAGCACCGTGAGAAGCGTCATGTTGTTTAGCATAAAGTAGTTTGCTCTTCATTCACACAACCGTGGTGGTTAGTGGTTTTCGAGCAGCACTACTTATTTTCAAGGTAAGTAATAAGGGCGACGTTAGAGAGTGCGTGTCTGTGCTAGATGTAAGGGGAAAACCTCCAAGATTAATCAAACTAAAAATTAAAACAACAATTCAACGCCATACAGCCTCCACCAGCTAAAAGATACTTCATCTATGCTTACGATTGTTCAACACACATTGTTCGTGCACATTAAAACTGACTGCAACTTTTATTCTAATTTGAGTGAAATAACAGACATGAACAACCGCATCAGCTGCAATTTGAGAAGAAGAGAGTTGACTAATGTGCTATTTTGAAAACACATGATCTATTTTTATTATTTTGTTTGGGCTTGTTATTGTTTGGTTTATTTTTGTTATTTATGAAGATGTGGTAGTTCATTTGGAGTTGGGTGGTTTGGCTTAAGTTGCTTCTTTTTTTAAAGAGTTGGGGTAGGTTTCATTCCTGTTATGGTGGTTTATTGACTTGTGTTGTTGTTTCTGGTTTTTAATCTGTTTTGTTGGTTACAGGGTTTTTGTTTGTTGAGGTTTATTATTTTGTGTTTTTATGGTTTTCTGTTCAGTTTCGGTTGTTTCCATTTAGGTTGTGAGTGTATCGTTCTTTTTTCCAGAAGTGATTGGTTATTTTATATTTTTGTTGAGTGTTGTAATGAAGTTTCCTTTGTTGTT